GTCAGGAGGACAGTCAGCAGGCAGCATTACGTCAGGAGGACAGTCAGCAGGCAGCATTACGTCAGGAGGACAGGCAGAAGGCAGAACCTAGTAGGAAAAAGATGACTTAGAAAGGAGACTGCACTTAAAGATGTCCTTCAACAGGTCCTTTAGCAACAATTGTGATCATATACTGTAATTCACACTCTGCAGTGAAAGCTTTCCTCTCTTAGTGGTGTTTCATAAAATTCAGTTGTCAATAATTTTTTCCTGTGTTTTTAAAACATGCGAATTCAAACACAAGTTTTACAAGGAATGCTGTAAAGTCTATTTCCATCCCAAGACAAAACAATTTCAAAAGCAAGGATCACACTTAACTTGATGGGATATGAATAATGTAGTAGTACACACTTACTAAATGCATTAATTAACCAGTAACTAAGTGTTAGTTATGAACTGATGCCATTCTTGTTCATCATTAATCAATCATGACAGTTCATGTATTCCATTCAGAGACTATATTAGTTAACAGTTTAATAATTAGTTCATAATGGTAAGATCACCCAAGGAGACAAACATTATTTAACTCATTTACTAGTAAAGAACAAATCATGAACTAGGTTTCGCCATAAAATACATGAATGAACATGGGATCAGTACTTAGCTAACACTTAGTTACTGGTTAATTAATGTATCAAGTAAGCGTTTACTACTAAATTATTCATGTTCCTTCAAGTAAATCGTTACCAAAGCAGAAGATGCTGAAAGTTATTATTTATTTCCTGAAGTCATTCTTACTCTGAGCAAGCTACCGCCCCTAAGCACTGCTCCCCGGGCGCTGAATTAGCTGCCCCCTGTTATGTCACAATGTCACATATGGGTTAAATGCAGAGGACACATTTTGTTGTTGTGCACTGTGTGCTGTGGTGTGTCAACAATGACCACTGATCACCAAATTCTAAATTTATTAACAATGTACTGTGCATGCAGGAGGTCTCCTATCAAAGGACACCGCGTGCCATACTGGCCTCAGTGTGACGCCTGCTTTTATCCATGACATTCCGTGTAGGTTTGCCTCCTGAATCAGTGTCATGGATTTTAACAGAATCACGCTTCAGCTGAAATCCATGCGAATCTCTGCCAGGAATCTTGATAAAGATATATATGTGCAAAAATACAAATGTAAATTCTCCTTGTGTGTCAAAAAAAAATGTACTAGGGCCGTTTTTTTCCATTGAATATTGTGTTACAGTGTCGCTGAGAAATATTAAAAAAACATACTGAACAGCACATTTCAAAAAATTTAATTTGGACTAAGCCAACCATACTGCTTTAACCGGTCTGAGAGCACCTTCGGTTGCATTTTGGCGTTGAACAATACACACTTAAATAACATACAGAAAATGTTGTATTATTAAAGCTTCCCTTTGCCTAGTTCAAAGATGAGCTAGAACTCACAATCGCAGATGAGATCAATTTGCATTGTCCATAATTATAACATAATTCTTCTGTATTTTCATAATTTTCTTCCCTTTGCCTTGCATGTCCAAAGTGCAGTACGTATCCAAATGTTTATAGGGCTATTTTGTAATATTACTTGTTTGGTACAGTCCCCTCCAAAATAAATAGAACAGCGAGGCCAATTAATTTGTTTTTGCTGTGCACTGAAGACATTTGTGTTTGAGATCAAAAGATGAACATGAGAAGAGAGATCAGAGTCTGAGCTTTTATTCCCTGGCATTTACGTCTAGATGTGTTAAGCAACTTCAAACCACCCAGTTTTTCAGGTGAGCAAAAGTATGGGGACATGACAAGCAACAGGTGTTTCTTGTTACCCAGGTGTGTCATATAAGACTGATTGTTTAATCATTAGTATCCCTGGATATCTACTCTCAGGTTAAGCTTTGGCTTTCACCTGTGAAGACTGCATGTGTAGTTAAAACGGCTACACCAACATGAAGACCAGCAATCTGTCTATGGGAGAAAAGCATGTCATTCTGAAGCTGAGAAAAGGGGGCTAAGCCAGTACCACAATTTGGAATGTCTTGGGGGGGGGAAATGAAACCACTGGTGTACTGAGCAACAGGCATCAAACCAGTCATCCAAGGAAATCAACAACAACTAGTGGCAGACAAATGGTGAGACAGTTTGTCCAGGTTTAGCATTACAATCTGTATGACTCAGTGTTGCGAGTTACAGTTGAGTACCAAGTGAAGGGAAAGGCACCAACTTTCAATGTATGGCAGTCACTC